ATATCACTGAATTACCCACTGAAATGCATCATTATTGAATAGCAAGGAATAACCATCATATGGCAATCATACATCATTGAGAACCATCATAATAGGAATAACCATCATAGTAATAAATCCATCTACCCGGCCTGGTAAACGGGCTATACAAAAAACGAACTGGAAAGATCCACCATGCTTTATAGATGGGAAAATTCACGAAAAATCAATGGTGAATCTTTCCAGTTCGTTCTGTAACAAATTACCAGAGGCTATTTCTCCATTAAATCACCATTAAATCCCATTAAAACCCATTAGATCACCATTTTCCTATGCTTTTCCTATGGTTTTCCTATGGGTTTCATATGGGTTTCATATGTTGGTGAGGTCCTCAGTGGCTTGGCCTTAACGCCGCGGCTCGCCCAAGCGCGAAGCTTGCCGAGGCTGCGCCCCTTGAGCGATGATCCGGCGCAGCGCAAGCGACAGCTGGAAGCATGGCCACTTGGCCAAGCGTCGTCGTTGGCATCGTCGTTGGATGTTGATTTTGGATGGGATGGGATGGTTTTACCCATGAAAATTTAGTGGATTTACCCATGAAATATCCACGGTGATTATCCAACTGATCATTGATATACTAATATCATTCCATATGAAATATCCCTATGAAATATCCCTATGACATTCATATTACCAGGATATGAAATATCCCTATTATCAATGGATTGGTTTTGTTGGGAAAATTTTAACCGGAAACCAGAGTTATTTTCCCATGAAAGATCATGGGGCTTTCCTGCAGATTTTCCCTTAAACCAATCCATTGAGATGTTGATTTTGGATTGATGGGATGGTTCAAGAACCAAGAAAACATGGGTGTTTAAGGCAGCAAATTGATGGTTTAACATGGTTTCACCAAGACATTCTGGTGCTTTGACCGTCAGAAGCATGGGGATTTAAGGGCATAAAAGGTGATTGTAGGGGACAGGTAATTGGCAACGTTGGCGTTCAACCATAAACCAGCTTTTGGAGTCTTGGGGTATGTTTTGTCCATAGCCAGAATCTACTTTCGTTCATCATATAAAGGATATGTTAGTTCTTACAACACATGTAATGTGGTTAAAAACAATAATACACTATCCCCATAAATCACCATCAATAGGTGGTATAAACCATTCCCAGTCATGGCTGGTTTATGGCATTGTTTTACCCACATTATTGGGAAATTTACTGGACATAGTGACATACATGGATCAGAAGATTTGGTCAATGGGAATTTCAGGATCCAATTGATGGAGGTACTGACTGTACCATATTTTTGGCCATATGAATTGTGGTGATATTCCCTGAAAAATAGGCCTGAAATATATAGGCCAAACATTGCTAAATTTCACAAACCTAGTACTTTAACTGGAGACTTGTACTTTATCCTGTGGCCATAAGAAAGAAATACCAACCATGATTGTTTTGAGGTTTGGAAATATATATGCTGCCTCAACAGGCATGCCCTGAATTATGCAGATAGAGCTTTCAAGGGATGATAAAATATGAGAAATATACCTCCTATCATTTGCCCAGGAACTCAAGCCCGTGCTTTGCGTCATTGGATAATGAATTCAAATGTACATTTCCATCATGAGAACTGTAGCTTTGTTTTTCAGCCATAAACCAAGTTATTCCTTGGTGTCATGTGCCAAAAGTTAAAGTACAAGTCCCAAAGTTAAAGTACAAGTCTCAAAATTTTGAGACTTGTACTTTAACTTTGGGACTTGTACTTTAACTTTTTGTATGACAGAATTTGGGAAAAAATACAAAAAAAGAATCTTTTTTTCTCAAATCTGCATACAAAATAGCTAAAGTACACCTGTACTTTGACTTGTTGTAAGGCAGATTTAGGATTTTTAGCTATTTTTGCTGTTGTTTTATCCAAATTATGTCATGCACAAAGTTAAAGTACAAGTCCCAAAGTTAAAGTACAAGTCTCAAATTTTGAGACTTGTACTTTAACTTTGGGACTTGTACTTTAATTTTTTGTCTTTTCCAAATCTATAATGCTGACTTGAAACAATTGCTTGTTGAGATCAACTTTGTGAAATTTCTACACGAATCGGCTGTGCGACACTGATGACAGAAGTCGAAGGAGTGAAACAGCAAAACTGTAACGCACACACACACAAGTAAATCAACTGTATACTTTTCACATATCAATTGTACAGTAACTCAAGGCAGTTGGCTCAGCTTTGAGGTCATTCACATGGCATCATTGGAATCGATAGGTTTTTATTTTTTATTTTATATAAAATATATAAAGTACTAGGCAGAAACTTAAGTACTTCACCGAACCTGGTTTGTGAAATTTAGCACCAAACATCTATGGAATCGGTACCTCCAATCAATCGGATCTAGAAGATCTCCCATTGAATCTTTAGCTTTGTCGGTCGAGCCATTGGAGTGCCCCCCGTTTTCGACCGGAAAATTTTCCTTCCTCTCTGCTGAGAGGTATGTCCCATTTTAAGACTCCATGATTTGTACATTGCCAGCTTTCTAAGCAATTTTTTTTCCATAGTTTTTCATACCAGTTATGTTCCCATTTTTTGGTAAGGTGATTCATCATTTGCTAGGAGTCATCGCAGGGAACACATCTCTTTTTACATAACCCTTTTTAGTGATGTTTTACATAACCACCATTTCACATAGTCATTCCCCCACATTTTCATATATTTCCCTATATTTTCATATATTTCCCTATATTTTCATATCTTTCCCTATATTTTCATATATTTCCCAATACTTATGTTTCACATATATTTTCCCACATTTTTCCCATTCATCCAAGTTTTCAAAGAGGAAAACATCCCCAAATGGCCATCGCCCGCAGGATCTGTGGGAACCGTTTTCAGCTGGACAAGGTGGAGCGGCTGCTGACGCAACGATGGCAGGAGCCCACTTTGTTCGGGGAGCAGCGGCAGCTCTGTGATAAGGCCGGGACCTTGGACTGGGATTGAAGTTAGCTATGGAAGCCATGGGATCTATGGTTATGTTATGTATATACCCTCTGGTTATGACTAACATAGCTATGGTTAAGCCATGGCCCATTTATCGAAATAGATGGTTTACCGAAGTAAAAAAGTGGTGGTGACTTTCCATGGCGAACTGTAACAAATAATCAGATGGGATTGAAGGAATAGAAACATAGCTACTTGTAGTATATTTAGGAATCTTACTGATGCGTTTTACGCAGGGAATTTTCGGGAATGATCCATTTCATCACTAGTAATAATCATCACAGCAACCCCCAGCAACCCATCCATTCCCTACTAAGCACCAGTAAGGAATAGATACTTGTAGTAAATTTAGGAACTCTTTTTAGAAACTCTGGATAAGCAGGATAATTTTGTGGGTGATCTGGATTTATTTGTTCCATAGCCTCCTTTTTTTCGTTGATGTGGAACCCATTTTTTTTGGCGATCAATATGGGTTCCATGCTGAATGAAATGGATGTGCATCCCAGCTACGCTGTTAATGACCATTTTACAACACCGGTACACCCCGGGAATCAAACATGACTTGCTGGAACATCTCCCATTTCCCGGATTTTCCCAGCTTGAAATCAATGGGAGATCTCCAGGATCCTAAAATGAAGGTACTGTAGCATATAAGGCCATATTTTAGGGGGATATCCCCTGAAATTTAGCCCTGAAAAATAGGCCAAAAATATATGGAAGGTACCTCCGTCCTCAATCAGATCCTGAAGATCTCCCATTGATGACACCTCCATTTTTCATCATTTTTCCATAGGGATCTCGCCTCGAGGTTCTTCAGGTGATGCGCAGGGTGCTGGGAGGTGAGTCCGCAGCAACTTGATGGCAGCTGGTGAGTCCAATGGGGACTTCGGGAGCTAAACTTTGATGGATTTTATTAGGGAACTCTTCATATTCCTAGCGGATTCTAGAAGATTTATGAAGATTTGAAAAATCCAATAGCTGCTTTATGACCCTCAACTTCTTAAGGATTCTTTCCTATGCGGCCAACCCGTCCCCAACGGCCATGGTTCCCCCATCTCGAACCGTCTCCGAGGAGAGCAAGTCGCTGCTGTTGCTAGGTGAAGCAGGCAGCGGCAAGACGCAGGCGGTGGATTGGTGTCTGCAGAAGTTGAAGGAGGAGAACTGAGCGCAGTGAACTCAGCGAACGCGGTGAACGCTGCGTGTTTTTTGCGGCTGATACTGGAAATGGGAACATGGCATAACATGGCCACACATGGCCATGAAATATAGGATGAAATGATGATTTGGAAGATGGTGGGACGTTTTACACCATGAACAAATGGGCTTTCAATGGTATGGGATATTTTGATGCTAAAAGGCGGGTGGTGATTCAACCCACCAACATTTCTCAGGCAGAGCATGCCTGGTATGCTGTATCTCCATAGCTGAGGTCAAGCCAATGACATGCACGACTCATGTCCCTAGTTGATGAATGAGAACTTAACACAATGAGCAGCTGAACTGCTGTCATGGTTCAGGTTCGGAAAAGTGGCCAGCACTCAACTCATGGTCTCCACAATTACTAATGAATGCAAGCAACCGATCAAAAGCAACAACAATCGCAGATTTTGAGTGTTCACAGTTCCATAGTTGCGAAATAGTGCAAAACCCCAGTTTTTTTTTGGGATATTGTTGGATATTGTTGTTATTATTTATTTGGATATTGTTGTCATTTTTCAGCCAATAACCCAATGTGACATGTTATTTTTGGATATTTTTGGATATTGTTGTCATTTTTCAGACTGCAAAATTTCCCTCTGGTAATTTGTCACATAGCGATTGAAAATGACCCAGTCGAAATAGTGGATTTACCCATTGATAGCATGGTGGATCTTTCCAGTTCGCTATGTAAACGTTTACCAGGCCGGGTATATCCACTAACATCCCTGTTTCTTGTTGATTAAACCTCTATAATCACCATCAAATCCTATGTTTACCATATTAAACCTCCAAAAATATGTGGGGGGCACCCAATTTTGCCCCATGCCAAAACGCCACGCGTTCGTTTCAGTGTGGGCGCTTGCAGTGACCGTGACCTGCCAGGAGAACAAGAACATCATCACCTTGCGCGCTCGTGGTGTGTCCTGGGCCGCATCCCATGGGGTTCCTGAAAGGTGTCTGTGAAACAAAACACATGTTACCCTCTGGTTATGTCAAAATAGCTATTGAAAATGGCAATTTATAGTGAGTTTTCCCAGCTACAACATGGTGATTTTCCATAGTTATGTAAACGTTTACCAGAGGGTACCATTTGTGAATGAAACATGGTATTTTGGACATAAATCATAAGTTACTACAATGTGGGGCCCCCCAGTGATGTGAACGTTGGTTTAGATTCGCCGATTCGCCCCATTAACTAGTTCGTTATATAAGCGTACCATAAACCAGTTCGTGACATTGGAGTTATTGGCACCAACTAGATGATTTATGATGATTTCCCACTTGAATAAACCATAGTGACGTTGGAGTTATTGGCACCAACTAGATGATTTATGATGATTTCCCACTTGAATAAACCATAGTGACGTTGGAGTTATTGGCACCAACTAGATGATTTATGATGATTTCCCACTTGAATAAACCATAGTGACGTTGGAGTTATTGGCACCAACTAGATGATTTATGATGATTTCCCACTTGAATAAACCATAGTGACGTTGGAGTTATTGGCACCAACTAGATGATTTATGATGATTTCCCACTTGAATAAACCATAGTGACGTTGGAGTTATTGGCACCAACTAGATGATTTATGATGATTTCCCACTTGAATAAACCATAGTGACGTTGGAGTTATTGGCACCAACTAGATGATTTATGATGATTTCTTGAATAAACCATAGTGACGTTGGAGTTATTGGCACCAACTAGATGATTTATGATGATTTCCCACTTGAATAAACCATAGTGACGTTGGAGTTATTGGCACCAACTAGATGATTTATGATGATTTCCCACTTGAATAAACCATAGTGACGTTGGAGTTATTGGCACCAACTAGATGATTTATGATGATTTCCCACTTGAATAAACCATAGTGACGTTGGAGTTATTGGCACCAACTAGATGATTTATGATGATTTCCCACTTGAATAAACCATAGTGACGTTGGAGTTATTGGCACCAACTAGATGATTTATGATGATTTCCCACTTGAATAAACCATAGTGACGTTGGAGTTATTGGCACCAACTAGATGATTTATGATGATTTCCCACTTGAATAAACCATAGTGACGTTGGAGTTATTGGCACCAACTAGATGATTTATGATGATTTCCCACTTGAATAAACCATAGTGACGTTGGAGTTATTGGCACCAACTAGATGATTTATGATGATTTCCCACTTGAATAAACCATAGTGACGTTGGAGTTATTGGCACCAACTAGATGATTTATGATGATTTCCCACTTGAATAAACCATAGTGACGTTGGAGTTATTGGCTCCAACTAGATGATTTATGATGATTTCCCACTTGAATAAACCATAGTGACGTTGGAGTTATTGGCACCAACTAGATGATTTATGATGATTTCCCACTTGAATAAACCATAGTGACGTTGGAGTTATTGGCACCAACTAGATGATTTATGATGATTTCCCCCTTGAATAAACCATAGTGACGTTGGAGTTATTGGCACCAACTAGATGATTTATGATGATTTCCCACTTGAATAAACCATAGTGACGTTGGAGTTATTGGCACCAACTAGATGATTTATGATTATTTCCCACTTGAATAAACCATAGTGACGTTGGAGTTATTGGCACCAACTAGATGATTTATGATGATTTCCCACTTGAATAAACCATAGTGACGTTGGAGTTATTGGCACCAACTAGATGATTTATGATGATTTCCCACTTGAATAAACCATAGTGACGTTGGAGTTATTGGCACCAACTAGATGATTTATGATGATTTCCCACTTGAATAAACCATAGTGACGTTGGAGTTATTGGCACCAACTAGATGATTTATGATGATTTCCCACTTGAATAAACCATGGTGACGTTGGAGTTATTGGCACCAAGTAGATGATTTATGATGATTTCCCACTTGAATAAACCATAGTGACGTTGGAGTTATTGGCACCAACTAGATGATTTATGATGATTTCCCACTTGAATAAACCATAGTGACGTTGGAGTTATTGGCACCAACTAGATGATTTATGATGATTTCCCTCTTGAATAAACCATAGTGACGTTGGAGTTATTGGCACCAACTAGATGATTTATGATGATTTCCCACTTGAATAAACCATAGTGACGTTGGAGTTATTGGCACCAACTAGATGATTTATGATGATTTCCCACTTGAATAAACCATAGTGACGTTGGAGATATTGGCACCAACTAGATGATTTATGATGATTTCCCACTTGAATAAACCATAATAACGTTGGATTATTGGCACCCAACTTAGATGATATTATGATGATTTCCCCCTTTAATCAACCATCTGGACGTTGGAGTTATTGGCAACCAACCCCCCCCCCCCCTGAGAAATGATTTTATGATGATTTCCCACTTGAATAACATAGTGACGTTGGAGTTATTGGCACCAACTAGATGATTTATGATGATTTCCCACTTGAATAACCCATAGTGACGTTGGAGTTATTGGCACCAACTAGATGATTTATGATGATTTCCCACTTGAATAAACCATAGTGACGTTGGAGTTATTGGCACCAACTAGATGATTTATGATGATTTCCCACTTGAATAAACCATAGTGACGTTGGAGTTATTGGCACCAAGTAGATGATTTATGATGATTTCCCACTTGAATAAACCATAGTGACGTTGGAGTTATTGGCACCAAGTAGATGATTTATGATGATTTCCCACTTGAATAAACCATAGTGACGTTGGAGTTATTGGCACCAACTAGATGATTTATGATGATTTCCCACTTGAATAAACCATGGTGACGTTGGAGTTATTGGCACCAACTAGATGATTTATGATGATTTCCCACTTGAATAAACCATAGTGACGTTGGAGTTATTGGCACCAACTAGATGATTTATGATGATTTCCCACTTGAATAATCCATAGTGACGTTGGAGTTATTGGCACCAACTAGATGATTTATGATGATTTCCCACTTGAATAAACCATAGTGACGTTGGAGTTATTGGCACCAACTAGATGATTTATGATGATTTCCCACTTGAATAAACCATAGTGACGTTGGAGTTATTGGCACCAACTAGATGATTTATGATGATTTCCCACTTGAATAAACCATAGTGACGTTGGAGTTATTGGCACCAAGTAGATGATTTATGATGATTTCCCACTTGAATAAACCATAGTGACGTTGGAGTTATTGGCACCAAGTAGATGATTTATGATGATTTCCCACTTGAATAAACCATAGTGACGTTGGAGTTATTGGCACCAACTAGATGATTTATGATGATTTCCCACTTGAATAAACCATGGTGACGTTGGAGTTATTGGCACCAACTAGATGATTTATGATGATTTCCCACTTGAATAAACCATAGTGACGTTGGAGTTATTGGCACCAACTAGATGATTTATGATGATTTCCCACTTGAATAATCCATAGTGACGTTGGAGTTATTGGCACCAACTAGATGATTTATGATGATTTCCCACTTGAATAAACCATAGTGACGTTGAGTTATTGGCACCAACTAGGATATTTATGATATTTCGCCACCTTGAATACCCATAAGAGTGACGTTGGAGTTATTGGCGACCAACTAGATGAATTTATGATGAGTTCCCCCTTGAATAACCAGAGTGACGTTGGAGTTATTGGACACCAACTAGATGACTTATGAGGTTGCCCCCACTTGGTGAAAACTAGGTTGAACGGGGCTTGGAGTTAATTGTGCCCAACTAGATGATTTAGGATGATTTCCCACTGAATAAACCATAGTGGAAGTTGGAGTTATTGGCACCAACTAGAGGATTTATATGATTTCCCACTTGATAAAACCTAGTGACGTTGGAGTTATTGGCACCACTAGATGATTTATGATGATTTCCCACTTGAATAAACCATAGTGACGTTGGAGTTATTGGCACCAACTAGATGATTTATGATGATTTCCCACTTGAATAAACCATAGTGACGTTGGAGTTATTGGCACCAACTAGAGGATTTATGATGATTTCCCACTTGAATAAACCATAGTGACGTTGGAGTTATTGGCACCAACTAGATGATTTATGATGATTTCCCACTTGAATAAACCATAGTGACGTTGGAGTTATTGGCACCAACTAGATGATTTATGATGATTTCCCACTTGAATAAACCATAGTGACGTTGGAGTTATTGGCACCAACTAGATGATTTATGATGATTTCCCACTTGAATAAACCATAGTGACGTTGGAGTTATTGGCACCAACTAGATGATTTATGATGATTTCCCACTTGAATAAACCATAGTGACGTTGGAGTTATTGGCACCAACTAGATGATTTATGATGATTTCCCACTTGAATAAACCATAGTGACGTTGGAGTTATTGGCACCAACTAGATGATTTATGATGATTTCCCACTTGAATAAACCATAGTGACGTTGGAGTTATTGGCACCAACTAGATGATTTATGATGATTTCCCACTTGAATAAACCATAGTGACGTTGGAGTTATTGGCACCAACTAGATGATTTATGATGATTTCCCACTTGAATAAACCATAGTGACGTTGGAGTTATTGGCACCAACTAGATGATTTATGATGATTTCCCACTTGAATAAACCATAGTGACGTTGGAGTTATTGGCACCAACTAGATGATTTATGATGATTTCCCACTTGAATAAACCATAGTGACGTTGGAGTTATTGGCACCAACTAGATGATTTATGGTGATTTCCCACTTCAATGCCCATTTAGTTCGGGGATTTCTTTCATTTTTGTTGCCATCTTTAGACAACCGGAGGCTATCTCCATTCTTCGTGGGACTCGTGGGACTGGTTGAACTCCTGAGTTTTGTCCGTTGAATCCGCTTTTAAAGCATCAAACAGCCCCATTTCGGTTGGTAAGACCCCGATTTATTGTTTGTATATCCCCATTCCCCATTATATCCTCATTATGCACATGTTAAAGCATACAACACCTCACGTTAGAACATATAACTGGTGGGTGGTGACTGGAACCATGGATTTTTATGACTTTCCATTCAGCTGGGAATGGAAAATCATCCCAACTGACGAACTCCATCATTTTTCAAGATGGTTATTGCACCACCAACCAATCGGGGTTGAGGATAGAATATCCATAGAATATCCATAGAATATCCTCACGTTAGAACATATAAGATATACCATTTGGTTATGACTAACATAGCCATGGAAAGATCCACCATTTTAAAGAACGGCAAAGCATCTATTTCTATGGGCCATGGCTTAACCATGGCTATGTTAGTCATAACCAGAGGGTAATCCCATATATTCCCATGATTTTCCCATTAAAAACCAAAGAAAACCTCCATTTCTAGTGGATATGTCCCATAAAACCCATGGTAAAATCCACCATTTTTTAACCATGTAATATCCCATAACATACCCCATAGATCCCATGGCTCCGCAAATCGCCCAGGACCTCTACGCTTCCAACGTGGAATGCCTGCGGCACTTGGCGCAGCAAATCGCGGGGCAGCTGATGACGGTGCCGCAGAGCACCGGGAGCTTCGAGGGATCCATGGAGTGGTTTCGATGTATCCTGAAGGCCATCGGATGGAAAGATGGTGCTGTGGTGAGGGCTGTGCTGTGGTGAGGGTATCATTGATATAATGGCTGTATACATCCTTATACTATAATGGAGAACCATGACATTTTTTGTGATTCATTTTGTGTTTCTTTTGGATGATATGAGTAATGATGTATAATGGTGTATATTTGTCATCATGTATATAATACATGATTATATATATATGTATATATTATAATGGTATATAATGATTGTATATCCATTTTATAGGATATAAATGATAGGGATATAATGATAGGGATAAATGCTTTGATAAATGGATGTCCATCCAATATCACCAACAACGGGGATATTTTATGAGATATTTGATGGGATAGAATGGCATGGGATGTTCATCCAAGAAATTGGGCATAGAAATGGCATTGGGAAGACCCAGATGCCAAAGGATCGAGTACAGCAACATTTTTGGGCAAAGCCATCTTCAATTGGATCAAACAATTTTGTTTTGTCGCCATATCCCCACGAAATCGTAGGTCTTAGCTCTCAGCTTCATCGATTTTTTGTAGGTTTTCAACATCCAAAATGCATCAAAATCCCTCTTTGTTAAGAGCCACACCTCCCATGCCGGGGTCCACCGGGTCCACCATGTTCCACCGGTTCCGGTTCCGCTGAAGCTCGCGCTGGACAGGAAAGCTTCCAGCGCGACAGCGCCGTAGTCATCGTCCTGGATCGCTTCGAGCATTTCTGCGGCATGGCGCGGCAGACCTTGCTGTACAACCTCTTCAACTTGGCGCAGGATCTTAGTGACGTGGCTCTTGTCGGGTAGTTACTCTTGTGGTTTTCAGTGTCCAAAGATGGGGATTATTGGATGGGAATAAGACAACAAAAATGTAGTGTATGTGTAGAGTATTAATTGATGTTCATTGTAGGTTTTGAACCATCTTCAGAATATGTGTATCTGCGCAATAGATCTATCGTGAAGTGGCAAGTACCCACCACATGGATACCCTGGACCCTGGGGGCCCTGGGATGAGTGAGTCGTAACCACACAATGACATTGGCTTTTCTCAGACCCTAGCATTCTTAGCCGAATGTCTCTTTGTGGGGCTAAACTTAAGGTTAGCCACGATGACGGGAACTTGCTTTGGTGGCTTGAAAACCTGCTTTGAAGTCATGATGTAAGGCGTGCTGGGTCACTGAACATAAACTCCTTTCTTTCTTTGCGTTACAAAAGAGTTTGCTTCGTGCCAAGCACTTTGAGGTTTTCAATCATGATAATCATAGTCAGAACGGTCAATCCCGAGTGTGAGAAACCAATCGGCAATCATTGGTTGAAATAGCTTGTGTTCAAGGCCGACTCCGAAATTCACAACCCTTTGCATTTTTTGGGGACACACTTCCCAGCGAGCCTGATAAACCTTCATGCTCCATCTACCCTCTGGTAATTTGTTACATAGCTATTGAAAATGACCATTGATAGTGGATTTGCCCATTTTTAACGTTTAAAACTGGTGATTTTCCAGTTTGTTATGTAACCGTTTACCAGGCCGGGTATTTGATGTCAACCGAGCGCGGAAAAATTCTATCACCATGCTCCATCCCAAGGCGTGCGACTGTGCATTGTTGGAGTGTCCGAGAAGTTTGACGTCACATGCCAGTTGGAGATGCTTGCCGAAGCCATGGCATCTGTTTTTTTGTTGGGGAAAGATGAGTCCCATGATCAGGTGATAATCCCATGATCATTGGGAAAAAACCATGATAATCCCATGATATTATCACTCTTATTATCACTCAATCACCATGATCAGGTGTTTTTTGAGATCCCGGGACTAGCCTGGGACTTGGATCTGTGACTGATCAATGGATATTCTATGGATATTCTATCCTCAACCCAAAGTGGTTGGTGGTTTCAATCCCTCTGAAAAATATGCGACTTCGTCAGTTGGGATGATTTTCCATTCCCAACTGAATGGAAAGTCATAATCCATTCCATGGTTCCAGTCACCACCAACCAGTCATGATTATTATATAACCATTATTAACCATATTATTAACCATCATTAACCACCAACCAGCACAAAAAACCGGACCACTCTTCTGAGGAAGCGCATTCTGTCGCGTTTCTCCATGGAGTACCTCTTCGCCTTTCTGCCACGCGACGCGAAGGAACTGACACAGGTGCTCGTGCCCTGGCTGGTGCCCTGAATCCCTGGTGATTGATGGCTAAAAGTGGTGTCCAACAAACATAGGGCTGTGAAGCTTCAAAAGTGAGGCGTCACAAATGATGGTTGATGATGATGGTTTGATGTTGGTCAGTGGTTTCTTTCGTATTTCAGGCAGTGGGTGCGGGATAATCCGTGAATCAAAGAATTCATACCCTCTGGTAATTTAACATAGCAGTTGAAAATGGTCATAGAAATAGTGAGTTTTCCCATTAATAGCATGGTGATTTTCCATAGCTATGTAAACGTTTACCAGAGGGTACAATAAACCCATTTTACGATTTCGGGGGGTCTAATATATGGGCCATAGCCTCAAAATGGCTTTGCTACTGAGTTCACCATATCTTTTCCATTGGATATCACCAAATCTTCAAATAATTCACGGAGAAATCCCAGAATCATCCAATTCATGGATTCTTCAATGTTTTTTTCCCAATTACACACTTTCATCAACCAAAATTCAATTCTTCGCCGTGTTTCATGACATCGAAAGATGTTTTTCCATGTTTTTCCTGTGGTTTTTCCAGCATTTTCCACACCCAAGGAGTGCAAGTTGACGCTGCCGGAGGATGCGCCGGGCTTCACCACGTCCTTCGTCTACGACTTCAACCAGCGCATCGCCGAGGCGATCGCCGCGAGGCTGCCGCAGTGGATGCAGCGCCTCGGCCGCCTCGGTGGCGGGGTGAAACACCCGTGAGATAATCGTGAGATCATGGGGATTTTTTCATGTTCCAAACCACCACCACTTAATACATGATACAGTAATGATTGATACTTCACTTTTTGGACATCTTAGATTGGGAACATAAGTATCAATCATTATCATAATAGTGGCACTACATAGATCGATGTTCGATAATGAATGATAATGATAATGACTGGTTGGTGGTTTGGAACATGAATTTTATTTTCCATAATATATGGGATAATCCTTCCCAACTGACGAGCACATTTTTCAAGATGGTTAAAACCACCAACCAGATGAATATTGGGATGTGTAATTGGGAACAAACATTATGATAATCCCATGATATTATCACTGTTATTATCACTCAATCACCATGATCAGGTGTTTTTTGAGATGGACTAGCCTGGGACTTGGATCTGTGACTGATCAATGGATATTCTATGGATATTCTATCCTCAACCCAAAGTGGTTGGTGCTTTCAAACATGAATGGATTATTTTCCATGTCATATATGGGATGATCCTTCCCATTGACGAACTCCATGATTTTTCAGAGGGGTAGGTATACCAACCACCAACCAGCTATGATGTTATGAGAATATCACTGTTATTATCACTAAAAATCAACTTTTTCTATCCATGGTTGTCAGATATCTGGCGAATGTTGGGGCCGGACTGGGGAAAAAGAATCCATTTTGGGTATGAATGCCATACCCCTAATATGAAGCATCACCCCAGAAACTATGATTTAATAGGGGATGTCACCACATCTTTGGGACCCATACAATCGGGATGTTTAATGGGGAGATGGGATTAGTATTGAACACGGCATCTAAAGCAGCAAACATGCGGATGTGCGGAGGTTCCAGAACCAAGGATGATTAGTAAGTGGCAATTCAGTGGGGTTACAAGGCACTTATAAAACCCGGACAACCTACCTGGGGGACTTCTTCATCAGGGTGAACAAATAACCGATTTGTGAGATGATCCTGGAAGCAGCCCGGCATCTCTAAGAAATAGTGCATATTTCATGATATTTCACCAGTGGGATTGGAGGAAATCATGGGTTTTGCGAAAATCAACATGGGAATGACGGATATCTCAGGACGGTTTCTGGATAACTGGGAGTTTGCATTAAAAAATATTCCAAGATCGTGATGGATACCCTCTGGTTATGTCAAAATAGCTATTGAACATGGCCATAGAAATAGTGAGTTTTCCCATTAATAGCATTGTGATTTTCCATAGCTATGTAAACGTTTACCAGAGGGTATTCCAACTCGTGGTCTTACATGATGAATATCCACCCTTGAGGACTTGGAGGTGGATTGTTTTCATGAAATGATGAATGCCCCAGGAGGTCCAATGACGACCCACCATAGGCTTACCCGGCCTGGTCAACGGGCTAACATAACGAACTGGAAAGATCCACCATGTTGAATGGGAATGTCCACTATAAATGGGTCATTTTCAATAGCTATGTAACAGTCATTACCATAGCCTGAGATTCATCCATTTCTGTGCCCATCTCAGGGATATCGAGCTTGGCAGAAAACCCACCTGGTTTCTTTGGCAGCTTGGCCAAGTTGAATTCTAAACGCGGAACACCACAGACCTGGAGTTGTCACTTTTTCGTAGGTCTGGTAGAGGTGGAAAAGAGGTATCTTAGACTTAGATATCTTGGTTCATTGATCTTCATTTTACTGTTTCCATGGGAGGTTGGTATGGTTCAGTATCCCTTTGCAATGCCAGTTCTTGTTGGAGGTAGATGGGCCACCAACTCGCAGGGAAGGCGAAAAGTACCCTCGCAGAGAACATGGCTTTTCTGGGAGAGAGAACAAAAAATCAACAGAGGTGACTTGCACATGCCCAAAATCCAGCTTCTTAAGCCACCGGTTTTGGTGCAGGCAGTATTAGATGTATAGTTTTTGTTGGTTCGGTAGCCAGTTGATGTGGCTCGCTGAGAGAGATGCCTCCACTATTTTCATCCTCCTCATCCCAAGCAGGTGTTCAACCAACCCAAGTTGTTCAAACCCAAAGGTTTTCACTCTCCCTTCATTTTTTTTGGCAACGCCGCAACGCCCAATTTTTTCGTGGTGAAATTCCACTTTTTGGCCGGTAAAAGATCAACTCATCATTTTTTTTCCGGGTAAACCATGGTAAACCCACCATGTTTTCCTTACAAAAACCACATAACCACCATGTTTCCTTGGTTTTGCCTGCGCCCTGTCCGTTGCAGGCAGTGCTTACCCGTGGTGGGCTTCCTCCGCCGTGCCCTCGGCGACGCGCCGGAGGCCACCAAGCAGCGGACGCTGGGAGAAGACGCGCAGAGGCGGCGGCTCTTCCTGCGAGGCCGGTGGGTTGATGGAGAAATCATGAAAATGTTAGTAAAACCACTATAATGGTTATGATAATAATGACAAGAATAATATAATGGTTATAAGTTATGATGATGATGATGATGATGACGACAATAATAATGATAAGGATAGTAATATCATCAATTAGTTAATGTCATACCATGATGGTTTTATCATTGGTCTACTAACATTAATTTTGTTAATCATCATGGTTGTTAGGTGGGTTGATGGTTGTAAAGCAATGCCATAAACCACCAATATTTTGATGGAGTATACATGTTTATACCACCAATTTATGGTAAAATTGGGGTTTACTTTACTATTGCTTTACTAACATTGAACCATTGACAATATGGTTGTATTTATGAAGATGTGTGTAAAATACGGCTGCACAGGATTAGCATGATTGATAAAGAATTTGTTTTTGTTCAGAATGTAAATGATAAATTCAGGATTGATATGGCTGAAATACTAAAACGACACCTAGTCCGCAGAATTGCAATTTTGTGTCAACTCCTCAGCAAGAAGCGGTTCAATGGATGTAATATGCTTTTGAAGGGTTTTGACACCCAAAATTTGTTGGTGGCTTGTTAGTGAACAAAGAAGGTGAACAGAACATCGTTTTCTTTGTGGCTTCATTTCCTTTTTTTGATGGCAAAAACAATCTATAGCTGTCTATAACTGGTTGTAAGTGAGCGACATTAAAACTCGTCAGCCATATGAGATGGCGTGGATGGCGAGGGATGCGGCAGACGGTTGGTGATCCAATTGAAGGATTTTCATGCTGGTTTGACCACATCCAATTTTGGGGAATATCCAGGAATATCCAGTAATTCTGATTTTGGGGATTTCTTAAGCAAATGGGGATTTTGTACAGAAAGCATGAGATGAACCAGACTTTTGGAGCTATCATCAACCGACACAGAAATGTCAATCGCCCATTAAATTCCAGCAGTATATATGGGGTTAGTAAGTTAATAAGTTTACCCTCTTTTCACGACTTGTATATTTTGTCAGTAGAGCCAGTGGCTGGTAGACGCTGAATACTTCATGTTGATAAACCTAAACACGCATCAGTTGACTTTCGTTCACGATTTATTACATCTAGACTCAGATCCTCAAATCATTCATTGTTACTCACATTAATGTGGTTAAAACAATAATAAACCACCCCATTTTTGATGGTCTATACCACCCATTTATGGTGATTTTGGGGATGGTTTATTCTTGTTTTAACCACATAAAATACAGATTTCTGGTGAAATCTGCGATGGAACCCTTAAATTTATGCCAGGCCTTGCGGAATGCGAACACCTGGTGCTGCTGTCGCTCTTCAGACAGCGCGCAGCCAAAGTGCGAAGTTTGAGCACCGTGCTCTTCGAGTTGCTGCGGTTGGTGGAGTGCAATGGCTCCCTGCTGCAAGAGAGACCTCTGGAATTTCGGGATATGCTAAGCTGCTAAGCATCATGTAGGATGCTTTCAATGATCCCAACTTGAAACTGGATAGGAAACAGTTCCAGCAGCTGAGGCAAGGTGCTGGCAGGGCACACGGAGGAGTCGTTGAGCGCGGCTTTTTTTCGCCTCATCAGTTACAAATTGGTGGCCTTTTCCCCAGCAGCTCGGCATTTTTCGAGAGAAGGCGCGTGACGTGCTTGGTAAACTGATGGGCGAGGGGACCCAAATAGGGACGTGACGTTGCTAGGACTAGTTGATTAGAACGTTCTTCTGAAGCAACCAATACTTACTGGTGTTTAGCAGGGAAATGAAGGAATGATCCATTTCATCACTAGTAATAATCATCCCAGCAACCCCCAGCAACCCATCCATTCCCTACGTAAAACGCACCAGTAAGAATACCACAGGTATCTTCCGCAGTGACTTTTGGTGCCCAGAACTGGTGAACGGAGAAACTCCACTGAGGTGTCCAACAGTGATGTTTCAACACGGTACCGCCCCTGCGAGAGCGAAGTGGATGAGGAATACCGGCAATGGGCGACTTGGGCTGCAGACACCTAGGATCGACTTGCAGGTGGAGTGTTTCTGTTTGCTGTTGGGTGTGCAGTTTGCTTTGTCTCAAAATAGGCTACCCCCAATTTGGTATCATTCCCCCACTAACTGGCTATGTTGTGTGGCCCATTCCTGTTTGTTTCCACGCATGCAGCTTTAGGTGGAGGATATGGCGAAGAAGCAGTCGGCCATGTTGCACAACCCACTGAAGGATCTGCCGGAAGCTGTTCAAAGCTGGTTGAGGACCGAATGATGCGATGTCCAGCGGCCAGCTGAAGGCTGATAAGATAGGTCCTCAACAGAGTTAAGATGTGGGATGTTTGAACAAGAAGCTGGGACATTTTTGTTGAAACCACAAGATAAGGGGATAACGTTCGAGTGTCTTTGTTTGGAACGTGAGTTGATGCCGTCGATGATCAAACAAACAGCGCCAGCGAAAGAAATCTTTGTTGAAACGGGTGGCACGCCATAGGTGTCACTGACAGAACCTTTGCTTTCTGTCGATGTTTTTTTAGCGGGCACTGAGCAGTCTCATAGTGGCGAGTTCCACTGAGGCTTGTTCTGATTTGGGAGATTGGGATTCCAAGAAGGGTGACTGCAAATATTCATTTATCTTTATGTACATAATTTTCCACCCATTTATCTGGGTGTTGGGAGCAACACTGTCAAATGCGAACAATAATGGCGATGAGAATTCATGCATATTCATGGCGATCTTTATTTTTTTGACATTTTCCACAAACTTTTAACATATGCTGTTGAACAATATGTTAAACATGGTCTAAATAAGTGTGTCTAAAGGTATGTTTTAACAACTGTGAGACTGCTCCACCTTTGGGGGGCGACTCGGTGAGTGCCAGGGGACTCGTTCCGCAGTCGCGAAGCGCGAAAAAAAATCTGGACCTGGCCGCGGCGGAGCCAACGGTGGTTGGAGCTGATGGCATTCTCCCGAAAAAAAATGGTTCTACCGTTCTACCAATCATTTAAATCTAAAACGCCAACAATTCCAAAGAAGTGAACCTAACTTTTGGAAACCACACAGCAAGAAAATCCTTGATAGTTGGGTGAAAGGCACTTGCAACTTCTCCAGCTTTCACGTGGCAAATGGCACTTCGCCAAGAAAGTGTCTCCAGCTCCGACGGCAGGTACTGCAAGACCGCAAGTTGCAGGAGCACATCCTGCGAACCGCCTGGGACCTCAGGGATCTGCCTGGTAAATGATGGGTTACCCGGCCTGGTTATGTCAAGTTATAGCTATTGAACATGGCCATGTATAGTGAGTTTTCCAATTGAACATGGTGATTTTCCATAGTTATGTAAACGTTTACCAGAGGGTAAACACTGAACCAAATACCGTGTTATACCATGCCCAAAACCCTAACCGGCCCTAACCGGTTTGATGGACATGATGTCAAGTACTGGATTCTGCGTTTATTTTTTTTTGAGTATTGGTGGGAACCCTAATAGCCACTTTTTCATACCATGGCACATTTTACCATGGGACATCCATTTGCACCCATTTGGATGATCTGAGTTGTTTTCAAGCCATGGGTTATCACAGTAACCCATGGCTATTTACTTCGTGGATTTTCCCATGAAAATGGCATGGTGGATCTTTCCAGTTCGTTATGTTAGCCCGTTGATCAGAGGCTTTGGACATGGGATGCACACTTTTCCGCATCCTTTTTGGACATGGGTTGCTGTACTTCGGACCCCCCCGTCGAACGGAAAGTGATCTTCCGAACCAGTGGATTTACAGATTTCCCCGTTTTTTTTTTCTCATGTGGTAAAGCCACTAGCAAATCATCCCCAAAGTCGCAATAAATGGGCTGGTGAAACCTTTTTTCCCAACTGGTAGTTGTGTATGACATTGGGTGTCCCACATGATTTTTTTGCCGACAACTTTTCCATTCATAAATCTGATATTATCATTCCCATCATTTTCAGACAACCATTTTCCCATCATTTTTTTCAGACATGATTTGACATGTATGACGAAGAGACACCCTTTGTGGTTTTTCCCGCTGAAATGATCATCATCATGTTTCGATTGCCATTTCCCCATTTAGAATGTCCAAATTATGGTTATTATGGGAACATATTATGAAACCGCCTCATCAAACATATACTTTCCCATCATTGTGGAATCGTTTCGATTCGAATCATTTTTCATCGGATATTTTCCCCATCATTTTCCCCATTTCACATGGTATAATGGTCCCATGTGTTCCATGATCATTATATCATTATATCATCATATTTCAACCATGATCATTACATCTAAAATGGTATCCATGTTTTTTTTTTATGTCCATGATTCAATGTGTCCATGAAATATCATGAAATATCGTGATATTTCCATGATCATTTATATCATATTATATCTAAAAATGTAGCTAAAATAGTATCCATGATATCTATCCATAGGGACCACGATATTTTCCCTCCATGATTTCGCTCCGCCGATCGATCGAGGCGCGGGGAGACGGGCCGGCGGATGAGCTGCTGAGCAAAAAGGCCAAGGATTTCAACAAGGCCCCGGGAGATGATTCGCCGAATCTGGAGATAGGAGATTTGACTGTTGTGAATCAGTACCATCCCAAAAAACACAAAGGTTTAAGGTCAAAATGAGATACATGTTTATGTGATATATATTTATATATACTATTAAGTGGTAACACCAGCCATAGCACTTAAATTGACCACTGAATATAACACTAGTTGGTATATTAAGCATGTACTAAGCGGAGAACCATCCTTCCAATTAATCCCCCAAACATTAAACACCCCCATTGTCTGGTCCCAAATATGTGTAAATCCCTTACCTTGTACCTTGATTTCCGGGGTTTAAGATTGTGGGGAAGGGATGAACAGCCTGAGAATAGCCAATTTTTAGATGAAACACCACCGGTTTTCAGACCAAATCGCATAGCAGTGATGTACGGACGTTCATCCTCTCAAAGATGGGACAATTGCAGGGTTTCAACCACAAATAATGTTTCATGGAATTCTCTTAATCCAATGGGAAACTCACAAGATGGCAGAAATTCGAGTGGCGGTGCTACAAAATCACAGGTTGAGTCCACAAAACGAGCGTAGTTGAACCAGGAAAAAAACGGTGACCAGTCAGCATTTACGAAGTCTCTGGATGTTTTGGATATTTCCAAACAACCGATACTATACCTCCATCTTTAGTTCATCTTTTCCAGATTTCTATCAACAATCACCAACATCTTTCATTTTTTGGTCGGATTTTTCACCAGGTTTTTCCCATTCAGAAAACTCATTCAAAACCAGGCAGCGAGCCGGGCAGTATGGGCCATGCTGAGCAGCATGGGCGTCTCTTTGGTGCCGCTGGCCAGTTTCTGCCCTTTTTAGACATGGGGAAAACATGGGGAAAGACGGCAAATTCTTGGTGCTGAACGTAAAGAATGGGGGAATGGTCCATGGTAACATATAGTAACCATAGTCGCCATCATCCAATTTTCCCACATTCCCTACGTTTGGCATCAAGAATTTTCATGCTCGAGGCGAGAAGATGTAATTTTCATGGCCAAATGATTCGTGCAGACCCGAAGTTTTTATAGAAAAAACGCCAACCATGTTTGGTGAAATCCCGATAGTTTTTGTCGTACTAGTAGAACACAACTGATAGTTTGCCGAGTTGGTAGAGATTTTACCCGGCCTGGTTATGTCAACAGTTTGCTATTGAAGCCATGGCCCAGTCGAAATAGTGGATTTTCCCATTAAATGGCATGGTGGATCTTTCCAGTTCGCAATGTAAACGTTTACCGGAGGGGTAAAAAAAAAAATGGAAAGAACACCAAAAAACACTTCGGATATACTGGGGTCTTGACCGACCGGAATATGACCCACAAAGAATGGGAAGAAGCGGCTGATTCGAGGGCTGGTTTTTGTGAAATGTGAGTTCTTCCATGGAGTTTTCCAGACATCTCTCATGTAAGGATATGTAAGGAGTAACATGTTTGGCCCCTATCCAATCATGCGAAAGTCAAGACATTTGACTCAATGACAAACCATCTCCCATTTGGGTTTGCAATAAATCACCCTAATCTTTCGGAGATTGGAACGATGTTTATCATGACCCCCAGTTTTTGTTGAGAAAATTGGGGAGAGTTTATGGCATCCATCGTTTACCGCAAGAAAACCCATCGTTTCCCTTCAGTTGGATAGATCCAATCGTTCCTATCCATGAAATTTTGCGGATCCCCGGCGAAGCTATCCATGGCTGGTGACGGCTGGTGACTTGTCGCATCTGACGGCCAGCTGCTGTGGATCATTGGTCTTTTCATCTTGCTCTGCAAGGAGCATGGCGTTTCCAGGATGTTTCCTGGACGGGGAAAGCTAAAAATGACAAGTTTCAGTGGAAGGTGCTTTGGAACATGAATGGATTATTTTTCCATATATTGGGAATAGTAACCCCAACTGACGAACTCATATTTTTCAGATGGGTAGGTATACCACCAACCAGTTTCAGTGGAAGTTTCTTAGCATTCTTTTTTCCAATGGGAAGTTTCTCCTTAAGATGGTTTTGCTGAAGTTGGTATGAAAAAAACCGTGATCCATTTTTCAGTAGGTTGGATAACTTTCGTTGAAACATATTCAGGCGACATTGCTCGGTTTCTCCACACCTTCTTAGGCTCCGGTTTGCAGCTGTGCCAAGTGTTTTTTCCCGTCAATTTGGCTATGGATCAACCCCCTGGTATGGTTTTCACTTTTCACATAGAACATCCCTGCAAAAATGTCGGAAATCATCAATTTTCACCCAACCCTGAAATTTTAGCACTGTTTTAGTGATCTTCACACCCAAAAAATAGGAAAATCCAGTCAACCAATCTCCCCGTTTTTGTCACAGAAATTTGGACAACTTCCCTTGATGCAGGACCTATCGCCATGTCCTGAAGTCAAGAGCTGGCTGAGATTCGTGCTGTGGGCCGGGGCTCTTGGTACCAATTGGAAATCCGAGGAGGTAATTATCTAGGGTTCAACTCGGTTCAGCCCACCATACTGTGGATGGTTGCGAAATCTTGCACCACCAACCGGATGGTTAAAAGCCTATAAATAATGGGATTTTGCCCATCTATCAACTGGTGCAGGATTTCGCAACCATCCACAGATTTGGTGATCATCCCAAGATTCCCCAAACAAAAGTCACGACGAATCTTAAAAAAAAGCCCACATATATGCATATATATATATTTATCATATTTCCAGTAGTTTTCCAATATAGATA